GCGTCTAGGGCCATCAGTTAGTAACTCTCATGTCGTTCCAGTCCGACAATGCATACTTGTACTCTTCATGGCTGGCTTCCAGCAGCTCGTCATTGACTCCGCCATACCACTCAGCCAACTCCAGTTCTGTATTGATATCCTCTTTCGGCTTCTTCTTCTCCAATACCTTTTCCTTCTTCAAGTGTGCCCGCACTACGGTATAGAAGTCGCTGTATGATTTTGCGCGTCGGGCTACGGTCGCCGGGGGAGGGCCGCTGAGTTTGCTAGGTCGTTCTTCTTCTGCACTCTCTACAATGGCTTCTGCGCGCTCGAAGTCAGCCTGAGCCTCCTATACAAACAATCATCAGAAGTGCTCAAACATACCCATGCAGCGGATGGTGGGCTTACGCTTTCCTGCTTGAGCAGGCTCTCCCGCCGACGACGATTGCCCTTTTCCTGGGGCTTTGCCACACGCGGGACGAAGGCATTGTACCACGAGTCTCCTTCGTACATTATTATTTTTTCTCCAATTGGGGTGGTTTCCTTGACGTTGCCTTGCAGAAGCGGACACGCCAGCTTGCACGTCGGAGCTCGGTCTACGTGTCGTGGGGGGATTTGGTTGGTGCTAACGGTATCTGGTATGGCTCGAGCAGGTGGAGACGAGATCCGACGCCAACTCTCCAAGCGTCATCGATCCCGCCCGCTGCAATGTGAAGAAGCCATCGAGCGTGTCCAATGACCAGTCCGGTGGCCATAATCGGACCTACGCACAATCTGCAAATGTTGCTCTCCTGATCCTACTTGACACCCTTGGGTCGTTTCTTTTCTTTGTACTACACAAGCCCTATACGCCCTCCATCACGCTGCACCATGCTCAGCACCAAATGTGTCTCTCGCGTGACACTACCCTCACGCCACACCCCGCGACTATGTAGGAACATAGCGACCAGAGCCCCGCGATCTCAGGTTCGGGCCGCCGCACACCCATACGCACAGCGGCGGCAGCAGCATTTTGTACGCTCCATTGCCACTGTCGGTGCTCTCTGGGCCACTGCCACTGCATGGCAGTGGTGCAATGGCGAGTCAATCTTAAGAGACGCCCATGCCGAGGAACCAGAGGCGAAAGAGGGCCCAGAGCTACAGTTTGAGGCCCCACGGCGGCAGGCCACTTCCAGCGACGACAATCGCAACATCATCAGTTCCCAGCACCTCCAGGTCATCAAGAGCTGGGAAAACCCCGGAGTGTACGCATGGGGCTCAAACACAGGCAAAGTCGTCGCACCCGATTCCGACGAAAAGTACATCAAGACTCCACGGCGGCTAAGCTTCTTCGACGGCAAGCTGCTGAGGGATATCAAGCTAGACAAAAACTTTGGGGCTGCTATAGACGAGAAGGGTGATCTTTTGCAATGGGGTACAGCATTCGCGGATGATGTCAAGGAACCTGTGAAAACTTTGACAGGGCTGAATTTGAAGTCGCTAGCCATTTCCCGTGATCGCATCATTGGCCTCTCGAACAACGGCTCTGTATATTCGATTCCCGTATCCCAGGTAGAGCAAAAGGAAGGACCCAAGCCCAAATCCAAATCCTGGATTCCCTTCTGGGGCGGTTCCAACAACATTTCGTACCGTGAACGCACACCTGAAAATCTGGGATGGAGCGAGCGCGTGACAGACATCTGTTCCGGCCTTGAGCACGCTCTCATGCTCACCTCATCCGGTCGCGTCTTCTCCTTTGCTTCGGGCTCCCAGAACTTTCCTAGCAAAGGCCAACTCGGCATACCTGGACTGACATGGGAGAACCGGCCGGCTGGTGCGTTTGACATTCCCCACGAGATTACCACACTCAAAGGCTTTCCCATCAAGAAGATTGCGACTGGCGACTACCATAGTCTGGTGTGCGACTCGGAGGGACGCGCTTTCACTTTTGGTGACAACACAGCTGGCCAACTTGGTTTCCCCTTCAATGCAGAGGCACAAAACATTGACGCGCCGTCTCTGCTCCCAACCCAAAAGTTCTACTCTGGACAGCAAGGCAAGGTAACCAATGTGTTTGCTGGTGGTAACACATCTTTCCTTGCCATTGAAGCAACAAAGGGCAACCGGACGACAGCAGACACGTGGGCGTTTGGCTTTGGACTGACCGGTCAACTTGGCGTGGGCCGGTGGGTGCACACGCAGGCCGAACCAGTAAAGGTACCCGCCTTCTCCGGCCTCTTTGAATGGGACGAAGCAAACAACAAGCCCATCCCCATCCGCCTCTCAACTATTTCTGTCGGCGCCTCGCATGCAGCAGCCATCCTAGACAACGTCGCCAGCGTCGCCGTATCCGGCCGCAAGTCCAAACTCACCGAAAACGACACCAACTGGGGCCACGACATTTTGTTCTGGGGCAACAACGAATACTACCAGATTGGATCGGGCAAGCGCAGTAATCTTGCTACACCGGCGTATATTCAGCCGCTGGACCAGGCGGCGGAGCAGGAGAGAGCGGCGTCTGCTGCTGCTGGTAGTAGTAATTTTGCAAAGCAGCTGAGAGAAAAGGAGATGCATCGGTTCCAGATTACACCGAGGAACAAGGTTAAGCTCAAGGGCAGGACAGTTGAGTTTGAGCAAAAGGTCGAATGCGGAAGGGGTTGTACGGCGGTTTATTCTGCTTTGTAGGACTTGCTTCGTGACTAACTCGTCTCTTCTTCTTTTGTTTTCTGTGTGTTCAGCTTGGGTGGATATGGTACTGTGTATTTTATGGTTGCCTTTTAGGGCACTTTCATGTGTGGATATCTCTCTCTCCCTTCTCTGGACATGTGGGGTTGTGTATATGAGGGGGGTGTTGTGGTCGTCGGCGTCTGTTCTTGTTGTTTTTTTTGGTACGAGGGCAAAGTCATAACTCACTCTCTTCATGGTACACACATCTTTTCTCCCAGATACATACGATAAAAAATGTAAAGAAATCACAACAAAACAATGATACAAAGGAAGAAAAAATCTTGGGGAGTCATGTTTTTCATTGTCGAATTTTTTTCATGTTCATGTAGCTATTTTGCCTTGAGAGATATCGCAATGGGTATTTTTTTTGGTCCACTTCCTAATCACCGCCCCAGCCCCCTCATCTCGTGAGCAAAAAAACATCACACCTGGCCGTCGTCGCTTCTCGCAAAGACAGAAGCGTTAAAAAAAAGTAGAAAAACAAGAGACTACACACTAGCTCTGTGTCTGAACTCAACCGAGAAAGCTAGAGAGAAAACCGAAAAGAAGAAGAAGAAGAAGGGGATATAGACAACCAAAAAAAACAGAAAAAAATTCAGTCGACAAGCAATATGGTACAGTGCATGGGTTCCAGGATAGTTGGATGGGACATGTGGAAATGGGACAAAGACTCATTCTCGCTAAGTCACACTTCCTCGGAAAAAAAAAGACAAAGTCCTCGCTTAAGTAAAGGGAGGATAACTACCCGAAAAAAGAAAGAAAGCCAAGGCGAACAAAAGCAGCCTAGATGTGGAAATTGGAAAGGGGACAGGCCTCATCCGAAACCACGGGTAAAAAGAAAGAAAGGCAGAAAGGGGGTAGTCAAGACGGGAGAAAAGAAGAAGGAGAAGAAGAAGACGAAGAAGCAGAAGCAACAGACAAGGGGTATCTCATAACCCCATGCGTCGAATCATAGCCCTCGACTCAGCTTCTGACAACTCACTCCCATCAATATTGATTCTCCCCTCTTCTACCTGCGCAAGATCAGGCTTAACCAAGCCCTCATGCAGCGACTGCAAAAACGCCAGCAACGCCTGTTCAAACGCCGCATAGGGATACCGCTGCTGTGCCGCCTGTAGGGCCTGAAGACTCGACTGGGCTCGATCTCTAGGCAGCAACTCATCGATATAGCGGCGCTTGATGCGCGTCCACTCGCGATTTTCTTGGCGCTGGTTATCCGGGTCGCAGAACAAGATGCGCATGGCGGAGACATCGGTGGGTTCGTCGGCCCAGCGCTCGACGCCGGGACAGCCATAGGAGAAGATTGTGTTGAAGGTTTCAGGGCCGTAGGAACCATTGCGGAGGTACTCACCGATGACGGCTTGTAGCATGAATTGCGCGGCTAGGTCATACCACTTGGAGGTAGGGAGCCAGGTGTCGTCGAGAGTGACGCGGGCGGCGGTCAGCTCGATGAAGACGGGGAGGAGACAGTGCAGAGAGGGGGTGCTGGCGACGTCGGTAACCCATCTTCGCTGGTCCAGGGGCATTCCCAGGGCAGACGCGAGTTCGGAGCGGTTTTCGTAGAGAGCGCCATCTGAAAGAGGAAAATCCTTGTGTTGGTCAAAGGGTTGCTCGAGTGCGGGTGCATGTTGGGTTCGTTGGCGCCAGTACTCGCCGCGGCTCTTGTTTTGCTCGCGCAGGCTGTTGAGGGAGGCTTCGGTGGTCCATGTTTCGGTGTGGTGCAGGCGGTGGGTGAAGAGTAGAGCAAACTGCAGCAGGCGCGACCGAAATGAGGCCTTGGAGTCCAGACAGCGGCCTTGGTGGCGGTGGCCAAGGAAGACCCTCCAATCTACTTGCCGTCAATGATTTGGGGTCAGCACGGCAAAGACAAGTTGGGCATACCGGCAGTCATGTTGACTAGGGCATTGGGAAGGTCTGAATGGTAGGGGTCACTGCTTGACTTCCACTCGAAGATGAGGCCGGTTGCTTTGAAGACGAGAAAGTCGAGGATGGTCAGGTCGACATCAAACTGGTCCTGCTCTTCATTCTCCATGCGGCGGGTCAAGTTGAGGTAGCCTTCCCTTGGCTGTCGGGGCGTGTCACGGAGGGCTGCCATTGCTCTTCAGGTACGTGTTGACAAAGCTGGAGGATGATAGGATGGGAGTGGGTGAGCGTGGGTGGCCAGGGCAGGGAATGGGGGGGAAGTTAGCAGGATATAAATGCAAGTAGTGCAAGTGTCAGGCGGAAAGGACCGTAGAGAAGTAAGTGAAAGGCTAAGACGGGGGCACGAGACGAGAACAAAGGCGGCGGTCGAGACTTGGAGGTTAGCAAACGGGTTATGTTTGATGGCAGGACAGCGCCCTCTGGACCCCAGCGGGCCGGGCAGGTCGCGGACGTTGACGAGGACAAGAAGGGTCGGCGGGTGGATGTGTTGCAGGGTGCCGTTCATGCACGGCGACCCAGCTGTCGGTGTCGGTGGCAGGGGGGGCGTCTGAATGGCATGCGCAAGCGAGCACGAAGGAGTTCACGTCAAACGGGGCCTGACTCGCGCTCCACGAGGCTCCACGCCGCACCGCTCGGAGCAACTGGAGGGGAGCGGAACTGACCGCGCGTGCATGGTGGCTGGGTGCTCTGCGACGACGGCGCCCGCGGCCGCCCTTGTGCTTCCCTTGACTTGCTGCTCGTCCGATCACGATGTACTGACTACTGACTGTACGACACCAGCAAAGGGGGACACAGGGACGACGAGACGGCCAGACGGCCAGACGCCGCACCCTGGCCCAAACAGGCTTAGCGTACGCGGCGGCGCGGCGCATGACATGGATCAGCGCCACCATCCCCACACTACTACCGACCGACCGATTGCCTGAGTGATGACAGACTGACTACTGCTTGACTGACCGACCAACTGACGGCCTGTGAAATGTACGCCCGCCCATGGCAGCTGTCGCCCGACCATGCTGTCCAGGAAATGCCCGCCCTTTGTATTGTCGTGTGCTAGCCTCAGCCCGCTGTACCTGGGCAATGCCAGCAGCAGCAACACCACCACCAGCCCGCACAAGTCATGCCGTCATACATTTGCCCACCCTCAACCACGACACCAACAACACCACCACCACTATCACCACCACCCCTCGTACCAACAACGGCGCACATATGCCCAACACCTCGATGCCGACCTGCTGACGTGGCCCGAACCCCAAAGGCCCCATAAAACACCCACGCCTTACCAGATCCTCCAATGCCGCAAGGGCGATGCATATACCAAACATCGCTTCTACGCCCTCGTCAAGCTCTACCACCCGGACCGCAGCCATGTTTCCCCTGCCATAGCCCAGCTGCCTCTCCACGTGCGTCTGGAGCGCTATCGCATGCTCGTCACTGCACACGATATCCTTTCGGACGTTGAGAAACGCAAGGCGTATGATGCCTGGGGCCATGGCTGGGCAGGCCACCACCACACGCCCACTGCCCCACGACACAGCGACTGGGACTATGACGCACGTCGTTGGACCACCGACCCCCGCACCAATGCAACCTGGGAGGATTGGGAGCGCTGGCACCACGAGAACAGCGGCGCCAAAGACTCTGATGCCCGCACCATCCAAATGTCAAACTTCACCTTCATGGCCCTCCTCTTCGCATTTGTAAGCATTGGAGGTGTCGTTCAAGGCACCCGCTTCAATTCTTTCAACAACTCGGTCATTGAGCGCCGCGACCAGATCCACCGAGAGGCGAGCATGGAGTACCGGCGCAGCAGGAACGCAACCCTGAGCGCCAGCGGCAACCGCGACGAGCGCATCCGCACCTTCTTGGAGCACAGAGAGTCGACCATCGTAGGCGAGCAATCCTACCAGCGCTTGCTCCCGCCCGTCGACACGTGCTCGCCGGATCAGGTCAGGCGACAGTGAACCTGGGCGCATTCTGGTGCCTGCTATACACCCCGCTATACCCCACACGCACATTTTGGTGCTATACTATATGTTTGCTATTAATCAGGCGCTGTTCATGGAGCTATGGCGTACCGTTCTTGCAGTCCTTAGGTATCATTCGGCACCAGTGCCGATGCCGTTGCGGCACACCCCTGCCTTTTATGCACTACAACGTTATAAAATTCCAATAACTACCACCGCAACCATATCCCGGTAACATGGACTGATTTTGCAAACGCGACTGCAGAGATCCCCGCCTTTCCATGACAGGACTTTGTCCGAGCAAACTGCAGCTGCACATGTTAGCACGGAACATGTCAACCGAAAGCGGAATTCCTTCCGCTTATACGCGTACCCTCACTGCCAGGAACAGTTGAGCCTCAAACACTGCTGCAACAAACGCTGCAGAGCTCCAATTATCCATTCTTCCGCTACTTGTTTCACCTTGGCATTAACCGACGGCTAAGATAAAACTGTCTGACAAGCGTTATGTATTTTTCTCACGGCTTTATTTATATAAAAAAGAAAGAAAGAGAGAAAAAAATGCATGAAAACTTTGGAGCGCCACCAAAACATCAACCATCTCACGTAACGCAGATAAAAAGATGACAATTCAAGTTTACTCTTTTTAGACTACTTCGCATGTGAACGAAACCGCAACTTCGCACTTTGTACGCCCAATCGGCCGCCAAGCCCCGCGCCTGACTAAAACATGCATTGACTGACGAACGCCGCAAACGCGTCTCCGGTTTTGAGAAAGGGAAAAAAATGTGCTCAGATTTGTTTGGGGCGGGCCGCCCACAAAAAAAACACACATACGCGCAACACTTTCGCTTTGTTCTCTGCCGCTTTCCTTTGGCCCCCCCCCCTCTACTCCCATGCTGTGCAACCCATCAACCCACTACTTCCTCAGAAAAGTGAGAGATAGGGTGTGTCGTGTTGGTGGCTACCGTTAGCTACTCTACCTAGTCTAGCCTTTCTTCCCCATGCATCCAACACCCCCCCCTCCCTCCCTCCTCATTTAAATCCCCCAAACACCCTAGTTTTGCGGCGCAAAAGATTCCATATCACATCACATCATTCATTACATATTTACATTGCAAAAAAACCGCGCCTCATTTCGCCCAATCTGGAATTCCAAATTGCCTCCCCCCCCTCCTCCCCTGATTTGGTTCGTTCGTCTTGCACACTCCCCTCGGCCCCTTCGCAATGGGAAGAGAGAAGGATACTTTACTGCGCCACATACGGCCCCGGTTTTTTTTCTCTTTGTCGTTGCAGGGTGCGGGCCGGGTGTCTTTATTCTGTAGTCCCCTCCTTTTTTCACAATATACGCGGCGGGCTAGTTTTGGGAGTTGGTAAGTAGTCATGATTCGGGGAGGTTTGCTCAAGAGAAATTCCAAGGCTTGGGGGGGAGGGGGATCATTTGGGTTGTGATGAGATTTATTTGATATCATGGTAAATGCACAACTTGGGAAAAGTTGGGGAAGTTGGCTAATTTCGTGAATTGTCTCGAGTTGTTGTAACAAGGAAATGCAATAGAATTCACCATCTTTATTGTGGCTTACTGTACTAAAGTTGCCTTGGCGTATCCATAATGCCAATTCATGTCTCTCACACGCACCATTGCCTCATTTCTTTCCCGCTGGTTTTGCTGGGGTTGACGCCGGCGCTTTCGCAGGCGGGGCCTTGGTAGCATCTGTCGGTGGCGCTGCTGTCTTCTTGCCCTGGCGGCTGATGAGATCCAAAAGATGATCTTCCGTTTGCTTGCCCTATACGATAAATTAACAATTGCCCTTAATTCCGCTCTATTGCGCCCTTTTTTTTTACAAAGCAAACCCCTACCTTGTCGGCGTCGGTCTCGGCATCCCATCCTCGCCCGAATTTGGCTCTGAAAGCAGCCAATTTTCCGGCCTCGTCCTCTTCCACATTTAATAGCTTCTGCGAACTGGGATTCCATAGCGGCGAGTTGCGGATATCTTTTGCGCTCTTGTACACGGGCTGGGGGTTCGTTGTTCGTACAGTGAAGGCGCTTCCGTCCGAGAGGGTTATGAGTTGTGTGAAGGTATAAGGTCGCTTCGGTCGGCGGAGCAGTGTCGCGTGTCGCACTTGATTTTTCTGTTGTATTTGGGGCTGAATTGATTGACGTAGCGCACGTAATGCGCTCATTGAGGGGACCGGAGACGCCATGGTGGTTGGTAGGGTCCTGCAATGGTAATGGCGGGTCGAGATAGAAAGTTGCGGAGAAGACACGGAGGTTTGGGCGGCGCTAATAATTCCGACATCCCAGTCGATTCAATCTTCAATGCGCAAACCATCGTCATTCGCATCACACCCCTCTTTTTCTCTATTCTCATAATTCAACAGTCCCAATTGCACGAAAGCGTTGCAAATTTCCTGCGCATGCGACAAGCAAGAGCTAGGCTTCATTGCAGCAATGGCGCTTGCGCAGCGCTCGGCGTCCCGCTTCTTTGCGGCCTTCTATAGATGGGAGTTACATACTCGTGAGATGTGCCTACGTCCTTTGAAACGAGCCATTGCTAACACCGAGCCCAGGAAACACACAACTATGTGCCTTGAATGGTACACACTACCGCAACCGCATTGGCCTCCCGCAGCACTACCACACAACTCGGCTTCTCAGGCAGCAAGCCCAACCTGAATCGCAAGTGCAGGATGAGCCTACCATCAATTCTAGTGACGATGTCCGAGGGATGACAAATGCAGCGGAAATACCACTTCTTCAGCCAGCAGACAGTATACGGGAGGAAATAGCAAGCAGTCAACCAAGCACCGAAGAGCACGATATCGTACCCGAACTCTCCGATTCGGAGCTTAAGCAAGCGAAATTGAAGAACTCTGTGCGTCAATTAATGCGCAACGTACCTAGCTCTGTTGCGGTCATTACCGTCGTACACATCGACCCCGAGACTGGAAAGCATGTACCCATGGGCGTCGCTGTCTCTTCACTCAGCACCGTTACCCTGGACCCGCCCACTATTTCCTTCAACATCAAAGAGCCATCACAAACTCTTGAGGCAATCCGAGCTGCAAATGGCCTTTTCCGTGTCCACTTTCCGGCAGCTGAAAGAGGAGGCGCCAATATGGTGGATCTCTTTTGCCACGGAAATCATGCTGAGGCTTACAATAGGCGAGCTAAGATGTTGAAGCTCTTTCAGCCCAAAGACAAAAAGCACCCTGCCACAACACGCTCTTGCGCACCACAAATCTTGAGTGACTCTGTGATGGCTGCAATGGAATGCGAAGTCACTCATCAATTCCCTGTTGGAGATCACGTCATTCTCGTTGCAAAAGTCGATAGTATGGAATACAAAGCTTCAAAAGGAGCAGCCATCCTTTACATTGACAGAAGATACCGGAGTCCCAAGGGTCAGCTTGTCTACTCTTCAGAGAGAGCACAGGCGTCTACCGCTGGTGAAGGTGTCTCATCGTTCTGGAAATATCCTCTGTTTCCAGGCGACAAGGAGCGACGAGAATATATGAACGAGATCAAGAACCTGATAAAATCAGACCCTACCTATTATGAGAACCCAACCAAAGACACGTATCGAACCATCGAAAGCAATTTACCATACCCCGCGTCAAGTCTTGGCATAAGTGTCGAGCTACTTGTTGCAGAGTGTAGGAAGGAAAAGAGACTCCCTAGTAAAATAAAGTCCGGGCAGGAGAGCCAACAAGTACTCAGCGACTTTTACGGGCTGTTGACGCCATCTATGAGGCAGCAAATTGTAGACCGAGCCACGACGTTGGTCGCAGCCGACTCGCGTTTCCTGTCACAAAATTACCGGCTCTTCTTATACAACTTGGGTGTCAGTCCTAACAGTAGAGATTTCTTGCCTAGCGACATTATGGAATCTCTGCGAGCTGCAAATCTAGCACCACCGTTCGATCTGAAAAGGCAACCTGGGGACATGTCGAGAGAGGACATACAGAAGATCGAGCAGATTGAGCACCGTCTACGGGAGCATCTTCGAAAGATGAGTTATACAGCTGCACTGAAGGAGCCTTTTGAAAATGCAATGGTGGCCATTGGTGAAAAGAAATTGGATGCTCTACATTTCAAGAAGAGTCGCGCGCGTCTCCTTACCCAGACTCACCCTTCACTCTTCGATGCCTCGGCAATAGATATATCTGGAGAAGTGACCCAAGAAGAACTCCGCGTAGTTCTCAGCCGGATCATCAATCGCCTGCAGATTTATTCTGAAACCGAGTTCCGGAAGCTTATTCACATTGATTGGTGTGAGTCTTTGCGCAGACTTGGTGTAAACCCTACTATTACAGGTATGGATGTGGAGTTCCTGACCGGCAAGATCAAACATCTATTCTACTCTACAGAGCACTTCCGAGACTTTCCACGTGCTATCGACGAGATGTTACAGCCTTGGTTTGTTTGGAACGTTGATTGGGACGATCTGGAAGAGCGTGTTAAGCGGTTTGTTCAGAAAACTCCACTGCGCGCTACGACATGGTCGAGGAAGGACAGACTTGCTGCTATGGGCATTCATTGGAGAGCTACGGTTAATCTACCAAAGCACGATTCTACCGACGAAGAGGTCAGACAATCTCTCGACGAAGGTCACATTATTGATACACTCGTCGCAAAGGAACTGAAGCGCCATTACGGCAACGGCAGCGAGGAAGAGAACGCAGGCATCGCCAAATACTTGAAGGGGGTGTATGAATTCGACGTCACACACAAGCCAATCGAGTATATTCCCGCGGAATCCACAGCTCAATCGTCGGCGGACGAGATGCAGCAAGCTATGATGGCGGACCTCACGCCTGTCCAGGAACAAGTATGGCTAGAGCCACCGGGAAACAGCCGTACACATACCAAATCCAACTACAAGGGACATAAATCTTTGAAGAAATCAGGCACGTTTTCGTTTGGCGGATAGAATGGGTGTTACGACACATATCCTACACATGTACGATACCCTGATTGTGCATTGTAAATACTGCAAGTTATGAATTTAGGCAAAAAAAAAGCATCGGGAAATCAATAGAGTAATCTCCAAAATGCTAGTACAACATTGGCTCTCAAGAGAGTGAAGGTCATGCATGAGAGACGGTGACTACACGTGACTGCGGCCGGATCAACTATGTTGCGTGTAACCTGGGAAGCTCCATCGCAATTTCCTAGTCGAAGCTTCCCCGCGAGTATACCTTGGTAACCAGCAGCAACGCGACGGGTTACCTTTAATTTCACTATTGAACGACTCACAATCTTACCTCTTTTGTCGCGTAAATTCAAAATCAGCAAACATGAAGCTCGTCAGGTATGATGGCCTCGGACAGCATGCTACAATTGCGGCTAACGGTTTCGCGCAGGTTTCTTATGAAGTGCCAGAATGAGACGGTCACGGTTGAGCTCAAGAATGGTAAGTAGATGTTCTCAATCTCACGGTTCATCTTCGTCGACTCGCCTATAAACAGCGGATGTTCTGCTTCCGGGCGCGTTGTACACCGAGTTGCGCAGCCAGGCAATCTCCTACCCAAACACTTCATACTCCTACCAGAAAGACATAGTCGTAACACATGCATAGGCACGATTGTAAATGGAACCATCACCTCCGTCTCACCGCTCATGAACGTCGCGCTCCGAGCGGTCAAGTACACGCCCAAGTCTCGCGATACCGTAGCCCTTGACACAATGACTGTTCGTGGCTCAACGATTCGCTACATCATACTTCCCGACTCATTACCGCTCGACACACTTCTCATTGATGATGCGCCGAAGCCCAAGAACAAAGCAAGGAAAGAGGTTGCTGGTGGTGACCGCGGTGGAAGGGGCGGTGGCCGCGGAGGCGGCCGAGGACGTGGAGGCGGTCGCGGAAGGGGCGGCGGTGGCAGGGGACGTGGACGAGGCTTCTAGGGCTGAGGAAGGATATCAGGATGCAAGAGACGCAATGACGCAAGAGTGTTGGGACAGAGATTGCAACACGATCAAAATCAGCGCAAGCGGAATCTGGGGTAACCAGAATATGGGCGAGTGGCCCACACAGAATGCCAGAATGAAGCGCGACAAGATGGCTATTGGATCGGCGATGATTGTACAGATGGTATAGCATGCATGGCGTTTGGCAGTTCAGGATTGGTGCAGAAGCCGCACCTCGAAAGAAGAATGATACCACTTTGAAACGCAGAATCTGGCACTTGCAACCGGGATCTAGGGACTCTTGATTTTTGTTTGCTCACAAATTACAGACTAGCTACGAATCCAGAGGATATTTGCATCATCGAACTTATTTACATCTTACTCTGCATCTTCAGGCGCCACTGGTGGCGTATCGTCCACCTGGATACCACCCCTCTTCTTCTCTTTGCTGTCATGGTATGGCAGTTTCCAGCCACCCTCATCTTCTGGAGTGCTCAACCACAACCTCATCAGGTGTCTCCGCGGTGCCGGCGGTGCGTAATCCTTGTACGCTGTTCTGGCATGGAAAATGTGGTTGTTGGATAGGAACTGGATGTCACCCACATCAAGAATCATGTGCAGAGCAAACTTCTGGCATGTTTCTTCCAGGATGGTAATGGCTCGTTCCTGAGCTGGAGAAAGAGGAGGAACAAGACCCTTTTCTGAGAAGCGGCTTAGGGAGCGGACAAAGTACGGGTCCCATCTATTTTCTATGTCAGCTTCTATTCGGTTTGGCGGGAGGAGATGAGCAGGACTTACTTGCTGTATACTCTTGGGTTGTCGCCTGTCTCGAGGTAGAAGACTGCCGTTTGGATCCACTCCTTCTGCCCTTTACTCGTCTCGCCCTTGCGGTCAAAATACCAGATTGGCTGTGTGAGCAGTTCCGCAACATCGGGATGGTTCTCCTGGAGATGGTTCCAGACGGTGTGGCTACTAACCTATTCAAAACACTGTTAGCCTTTGAAATCCTCAAATTAGGAAAGGAGGAAACGAAAGAAAAAAGAAACTTACCAGATCACTCTCACCCCCCTCCAATGCCTTGGCCACACACAACAACCCCACCAAATCCGCATCATCGGCGTGGAAAAACTGCCTCGCATTCGTCCGATAAATCCTCACCTTATCAATCGCCGTCGCATCCTCACCCAAATCCTTGACATGCCCCAACACATGGCCCCGACTATTCTGACTCACAAAGTACCCCAAGTACGTGCCCAGTCCCATATACGCAACCGCCGACTTCTTATTCCCCCACTCCTGCACCGGCAGTCCTTTAAACAGAATGAACCCTTTACCATCAATAAGTTCCTTCCTCAGCGGTGCCAGGAACCTCGAGAACTCCGGTAGAGGGAACTTCTCAGACGTAATGCCTGTTAGCGGTGTGCCGCTTGCCAGAAACGCATCTGCAGCCGCACTGATTTCCGACACTTCGGAGGCGGAGAAGATGTGCGTCCAGCGTTCGGGGTTCGAAGAGTAATCGGAGGCTTTCCAGGCGGTGGGGCCTGTGATGGTTTTCGGGAAGGACGAGTAGGGTTTTAGCAGGGAGTAGATGGGTTCGTGTTGGCCTGAGGTGAGGAGGCCGTCCGGGAAGAGGGTTTTGGAGAGTTGCTTGGGGGTGGAGGAGAGGGTGTGAGGTGCGTCGGGCGCTTGCGAGGTTAGAGCTGGTGCCATTGTAGCTGTGGCCCTTGGTTTGGTTTGGTTTTTTGGTTTGATCGAGTTGAAGATTATCGGTTTGGGATTGATAAAGCTGGAGATTGAATCCGATTCCAATCGACACTCTTCTTCTTGGTTCTTAAAACGGGAAGAAAACAGCGCTGCTCTCTTCTTTCTCTCTCTCTGTACACAAAATCCCAATTATCGAAATACACACAAAAAAAACAGGCGAAGAGTTGGACGTTTTATGTACCCTATTTATACCCTGCACATAATCATCATACCACCAACCCCCGACCCCTCCAAAGCATTTCTACTGACATAAGACCCTACCCCCCTCCCCTCACTTGCTTACTCCGAATTTTTCGGATTCCTCAATCGGGGCACTCCTGTTCGCGACCGTTTGCGTGTGGTGCACTGCATATCCCGTTGGCAACAAATTAGGCAAAATGGCGTGCTCGCACGCATCCAAGGGCACAGTTGACGCAAGATACGCAAAAGCCCACCCCCGCTTCCAACAACCCTTGTCGTTGCTTGCTATGACCTCACTCTGCAACACACAAAAAAAACAGCACATCATAACGGCGGTGCATGAACATGGCTGTTGTGTATTTTCCTACTAGATTGTTTTGGGGGTCGTAGCACCGCGATTGTGGGAGGGAATTCAATGGACAATCATTCGTTGTATACAGGAGGAGTTGATAGATAGATAGACGTCAAGATAAACAAGTACATGCAAGCGTAGGAACTGCGGAGTTAAACAACCCCACTCCCCTCCCTCCCCCACTCAGTCGCTCTAGTCGCCCTCAAAAACCGTTGCCCTTACCCCAATGAACACCGATAACACCAAAACATGATCGGGAGATAACGGGAAAAAACATCCGAGCATAACATGCCAACGCTCGCAAAACCCACAGTAAATGCCGTCCGATACCACCCTATACACATGCAAAAGCTTAAAAAAACTTACAAGGATATGGGAGAACTAATTCGCCCTTGATGCATCCCGACGTAGCCAAGCTGACAGCGCCTAGAAGCTCGATAAGCACTCCTCCACAACCGCCTCCAACATGCCCAAAGTGTAGAACCGAGCAACATTGCCATAAACACCCATTTTCTTCTTAATCTCGGCCTTGTTCTTGGTAGGCACCCATTCTCCCGCGCAGGCACAATGTTCCATAAACTCATTGCTGCGTAGCCTCTTGCACTTTCCACACTTGAGGTCCTGCGTGCACCATTCGAGAACCATTTTTTGTACCTCGCCGACAAGTTGCTCCTCGATGCAGCGCTTGTCGTATGGAGAATCGCAGTTGTCGCATTTCCATTTGGGCATGACGGGGGCGGCGTCGCTGTCGGGGAGCATGACGGGGAGAAATGAGGGCTCGCGGCAGAGATCCAGATCGCGTGAGGATGTGCAGTCATCGCAGATGACGCCTCGAACGACAAGTGCAGCGCTTGGGTTGGTGAACGTTGCCTCTGCACTGAATTCTCGTATGTCGAATAGATTCAGCAGTTCTTTTCGCAACGCGCGTGCTTCGAGCGATATCGAACGGTCCAGACTAAGAACCTGCATGATACTCTTGACGAGTTGGAGGACCGGGTTTGTGAGCTTGAGGTGCGAACCTGGAAGTTCTGGGAAGACGTATTCGGATGCAAATAGAGGATCCAGCACCTCCGCGTGCTGCTTCTTCGCAAAGGCATTCATCTGTTTAGACAGTGGTTTCGTGAATGTCTTGGGTAGTATCTGTGTCTGCTCATTGGGGTGCACAGTCAGAGGTCGAAGAGGAATCTGAGTTGGTCGTGGTGTCGAGCCATCTTCAGTGATGACTGGGCGTTTACGTGAGTGCATGAGCTCAATGAACTCAATCACCCAGTCGTTGAAGGTAGGCTGGAACTTTTGCGGCAAGAATTGCGCAAGCTGCCAGCACATGATGTTCTCCACAGGTTGGACCTCGTCTTCAGTCACCTTGTCGCATCCCTTGCCTCCGTAATTGAACTCGTCATACCAAACGAGATAATCCCAAAACTCTTTGATCTCAAGCTCCATAAACTGGAACAGTGGCTTCGCCTTGATAGTCTTGATGATGTACTGACTGTAGGCGTATGCATTGCCGATTTCAGCTTTGGTTGTCTGAAGGAGAAGGCGATTTGGACTGGCAAAGACAATGTGTGAACCCACTCGCTTGAAGTCGGTCATGAGTTGCTGCAGTGTCTTCTTCGACATCATTTGGACATAATAGTGCAGAGAGCGATCGTAGAGGAAAGACCCAGGACTGCTGACCCAACGGACAAGATGCTGTACCATGACATCGGCCATACTAAAGCCGTGACCAGCCTGGACAGCTTCAACCCACCAAGTCTTCACCATTTCACGAAGCACTGTAATACCTGCACTTGCAAAGGCGTTGTCTGAGTAGATGACATTAGACCCATCATTAGCCGAATCGTATGACGGTGCAGCAGGATTGAAGGAAACGGAATCTGCACCCTCAAGCTCGTTGATAAGAGACGAAGATAGGATGGTGTTGATGGCCAGGTTGCGTAGATTGATATCGATACACACGGATGAGTAGGTACCTGGGTTGTTGATTGATGGCATCTCTACTGTCTCGAGAGGTCCGAGGACATCATCTTTCTCGTATCCAGTGTGATCCGGCTTCGCTTGGCCAGACCACCACAAGATCACGCGGTCTTTTTGTAGCCTTCTGGCATATGCAATGTCAATAAGGAAGCGTGGGTCGTTACTCTCGAGATTACAGAGCGGAATGTCTCCATAGCGAGCCAGCTCCAGTAGATGAGCAACCCAAGACCCAAGATCAAGGTAATGTCCTACCAATCGCTTGGCAATGAAGGACTGCCAGCCAAGTGGCGGTAATTGCTTGTCAGACTCGTTGGGATTGAGTGTCAAGATGGGCAAGTCTTTCAGGGCAGGGACATCGTGTGAGAGAAGGGCCTGGTTCGGAGATTGCATGACGACAATGATCGGTCCAGTCTCATCCGCTTTCATTCTCTTGATCACATCGCCTATCTCGAGCAGAGCTTTGCGTTTCGTGGTCACTATTGTCGTCTTGAAGTGAAGGTCCTCCTGGTACTTGATCATATTTTGCCATGGTTCACCGTCGTTGTCTCCTATTCGTCGTTGAAGGGCATCGCGATAGATACGATCGACATTCGGCATGCCTTGCGAGTCTTTGGATTTATTCTGGATGATTATGTGGGCATCGCTCTTCGACGTTGAGAAAACGGCATAGATATTACGGTCTCCGCTGCTGACATGGTACAGATACACGTAGTTGAAGGGTGCTTCGGCAAGATATGGTTCCTTGGTCGGCACTTTGCGTAGTGCGGAGAGGTCGAATCCATGCTCAAGACCTTTTCCGAGGACACCTTTCTGGGACTCGTCGAATGTGCAAATGCTTCCCAGTTCAAGAATGGCCCGAACATTCAACGGAACTTGCTTCTCGTAGACACCCTCGACACTAGAGTGATTGAACAGAGCCGAGATGCTATCAGCTTCATGGACATAGGTCTCCTCTGACATCTGAAGTTTGAACAGATGAATCGAAGGATGCCCATTCGGCAAAGTATGGTTGACCACTTTTTCTACTGAACATCCACTGATCGATACATCTGGAAGCTCTTCACTCCTCAGATTGAGGTATAGTTGTCTTGGTACGATGATTTTGAGAGCGTGGATCTTCTTGTCGATGAAAACAAAGGCTCTGACCTCTCCCGGTGTTTCTGTTGGCCGAAGTTGTACGAGTTGCCATGTGCTGATGTAGAGGGATTGCGCCTGGTTTCTGAAGAAGCTACCAATTGCGTCGGATGCGTCAACGGCTTTCTCTCCAAACAATTGGCGTCGGCGTTTCCGTGCCTCGCGCTGAATCTTCCATTTCTGTTTCTGGTACACCAACCAGCTGGAATAGTCTTCATCGATACTCGGCATGACTTTAGGCAAAGCAGCATAAGGATCGACAATCGGTACTGCAGGCTCAGGTTCTTTGCGCTTTGCAACCATCTTAGTAACAATTCCCTTTTTCATCTGCGATTGATTCTGCGTCAACTTGGCGGAGCCAAAGTCTTCTAAATCGCCAGTGACCTTGTTGTTCGCGACATTAGCGTCACCGTTGGTTAGGACCTTCTTGCTGAACATGTCCGTCATCTTTGTCTGCTGCATCTTGTCCTCCTTCTGACGAATCCTACGGTCAAGCCAATCGGGGTGTGGCACCCTAGGAACGGGATTCCGAACTTTCTGGTATGCTGCAGGGATGGTGATGAGTTTCTGAATGACAGAAGCCAGACGCTCGCGGTAGTAATCCCAGTCTAGAACTGATCGAATATCCATCTCTCCTGGATCGTCTCGCAACCACCTCCTTAGAAAGTATCGCTTTACTGATTCCTCGGCCGAAAAGATAGACAAGGGAACGGCGCGTTCGGTAACGGGCGCATTTCTTGGTGTCTTGGAGATGATGTATTTGCAGTTCAATCCCTTGTCTTTCACCATTTGCTCGCCGAGGAACTCGGCCAGACGCTTGGCGGTTGTGATGGCGGTTGACTTTTGCGATCCGTACTCCTCCAGTGTCTTTGTCATGCTTTTGTTCTCGACAATAAGATCAATCAGCTCCTCGTCAGCCAAAGTTGCTCCGCGTGTATCCAGAATATCGAGCCACCTGTTCGCTACCTTGGCAACAGCACCGTAGGTCTCTTCAAGAGTGGTACCTTCCAAGAAAAACTTGAAAATCTGGGCTTGGAAGTTCTTGATAAGCTTCAGCTCACCACGACGCTTCACTTCGAAACCTTTCAACTCTGCTAAACTGCCGTCATGGTTAAACACAGCATAACGCTTCTTCAAGTTCTTGTCCTCTTCTTTCGAGGTGGGCAAGATCATGGCCTTGTAGGGACCGTCAACCTCGAAGAAGATGGAGTTGTCGCTGTGCTTCTCATATCGGAAATTCACAGGGTCTACCAACGTCTCGTACTGGTGGTTAGTGTACTGAGCGTGTACTAGATGGTTCAACATGGTACATGGATAAGAGATGGTTAGCTTCTTGCCGTTGCTGAGCTTGAAAGAGAAGTTTTCTGGGAAAGTCGCTGGTAGGATGGCCCAAATACCATCGGTATCCAATTCCAGGGGTCGACCGATGCGCTCCACAAGGGAACGCGCCAACTGAATGATGCGAGCACCAGTCAAACAGGTAACGCCAGCCATCTCCAGAGAGTACCAGCGTGATCCCTTTCGCATGACATATCCATAGAAGGAGTTCAGAATAACTTTGTGGGCCAACTGCATGGAATCGAACAAGACAATCATCTTCTTCGCGTCTTCAATCTCGGCTGCCGGGGCACCCGCCGCCTTCAACGCTTCTGTCTTGCCTTTCCAAACTTTTTGTTTGCCCTTGAAGTCATATCGTCGGTCACGGAAACCACTAACAGTATCAACATAGAATGGGTTTTCACGCTGACAGATGATAGCCTCGCGCTCAATTGTTGTCGCATCGTGAACCTTGTGGTAGATCTTCTTAGAGTAATCCGTCAAGCGTTTTCTGACTAGAGCGGCCTGCTCGTCTTCTGAGAGCTCTTGAAACGACCGCTTTGGCGAGTTGGGAAACCTTCCGGGGAATTGCTCGTTCTCCAGTGCGTTGCGAACCATGTTGTACTCATCGCGTTTAGCTGGGAGATATTCACCTCTCCAGGCCCATGGCATCCGACGATCGCATGTCTTTCCGGGACGGTTAAAGTCGCAAGCCGCGCAGTTGGACTCGTTAATCATAGAGTCAGGTTGCAACCTGTTAGTTGTCATGATGTTCGGATACATAGACGCAACATCCAAGTGGTAGATAAGAGGTCGCTCGCTACGATTTGGTGTGTTCTTGAGATGCATCAGCTTGTCGACAATCTCAGCCCTGACCTCATCGTAATTGGTAACGTCCTCCATCTTTTTCTTCTCTTCCACCTCAATACTGAACTTGAGCGCAGCATCAAGATCACCGACTAATTCATCGATAGCGGTAGGATCGACTGCAAAGTTGTACGCGATGTCGCTTCGAAACACGCCAGCCTCCAGAGCTTCGACGTGACCTCCGACGTAAGTCTCCGACTCAAGCAGATGGCCATTCCAGAATGCTTCTTTTGGCGCTTGATGTTTGTTTGGTAATACAATGCCCTTCTGGTACGCTTGCACCATCAACAGCATCTCACAAAGAGTACCCGTACCCTTACGCAGCGCATCGTCCGGTCCAAGGGGCAAGATTTTGCACAACGCAAAAATGAAGGGGTGAACATACTTCATGTACAGATAGTAGGTTGCGACGGCATCGGAAACGGAATACTCAGCAAGAGTCTGAGGTCGCTCGGATGCGTAAGGCGTCATGAGTTCGGGGTCGAGCTCATCTGGATCGTATCCCAATTTGGCCATTGTAACGGCTTTCAAACCACGACTACCTTGTGGAAGATAACTGTCTCGACTGACCCAAGCAAAGGCGTCCATATGTGCGCAGTAATCCGACTGATAAATGTCCTCGCTGTTCTTCCTAAACCCGATTTCTTGGTACATGTCGATACCTTGGACGCTGGCTCTTGCCTCCACAAAAGGCCAATCGAAAAAGTCTCCGTTGTATGTGACCATGACTGTAGGTTTGGCTATTTTGATATGTTCGAAGAATCGTTCCAGTAGGGCCTTTTCATCTGGTTCGTTGAAAATCATGAACGGTCCGTGGTATTCCGGTTTCGGCGTATATTCGAAATCCTGGATGTCTTCTGAGACAATCTCACGGTTCGTAATCAGAAATCCTTGGCCGTCAATCATGTACGATATCATCATGATCTGGTCAATGGCTGCGTCGGGAAACTTCAATGGGAGCTTCGTCGTTTCGATATCGTAGGCCATTACCACAGGATCCGCAGGTGTCAAGCGATCCTCTATACACTTTATGCTCACTACACCATGCTTCGCCTCGACTGTGTACCAGTTTCCAATTCGAACGTCCTTGTCGATGGCTACTCGTACGTGGTAGGGAACATCGTATTCCCGAATATCTACAATAAAATCGCTTGCATCAACGGTGGTCGTAAGTCGTTTCTCGTATTCGTAATCTTCATTATCGAAAAAATCAAAGTTGGCATTGCCACTTGGTGGTGTTAGCGATGTGTCACATGAAGAGCGAGCCACACTTACTTAGCCACCTCGGCGTAGGTATCCATGGCGTTGACGTTCTTTTTGTTCTTCTCTACTATCGGAGCAACGCCTTTCCGCACAGCAAGAAGATCGTTGACATTCGCGAAGGTAAGCATTAGAAATTTTCTTCGGTAACCAGTAAGATGGTTTGGCATGCTCAAGTCTTCTTTCTCTATGATCTTCACAGTCTTGACCAGGCCCTCGTATGCCCTTTTACAATATTCCTCTACGTCCTGTTCCCTCCCCTTCTTGACCGCCAGCAAGAAGTATGGGTCGTATTCGAGGGTCGCTTTGAATGTGTCTCCTTCCTCGCCAATGAAGTAGAAGTCAACACCAGCTCTTCCACCCGGTACATCTTCGTCTTCGACTGTTGTCGAGTGCATGTTGACGAGCCATCCCACTTTCTTCTTCCCCGAATCGAAACGTGCGAAGCCCATAGTCTCATCGATGCGGTGTGCCAGGCGTGTAGATTCCAGCTTTTCGTTCTGTGAAGTAGCCTCTCCGCTTCTTAATGTCGAGGCATCAACCGTCTTGGGCTTGTGTGGGCCGTAGGATGCGTTTCCATTCTTGCCTACCCGGCGAAAGGGCTGGCCTGCGCGTCGGGGCGCCATATTGTGCGGTGGGGGTGCAAGGTAAAAGAGTATTAAATGCTAATTATGAGAGGTATGCAAAACAGGGTATCATAGGTATGGCGGAAAGACAGAAGAGACGGAGAGTCGGCAATTGGTAGGGAGCGTGTGGTGCGCAAAGACTTGGGAGTGTTGAAGGGCGGATGTGGATCTGCAAATGTCAAGCGCGACGCGTTGGAGCGTGTTGTGCGCTATCCCCTTCCTAGCAAATTGATTTTCAGCCACAAAGTGTGGCCGTGCACATATCGTGGAATCATGGATGCTGGATATTTTCGGCCCTATTCCGCACCACCAGAAAGTGAGCGACCAACATCTTCTTCCCGCACCGAATGCGCCTATAGCAACTGCAAAATCTGCACCGTACCTCGAGTCGAAACACTTACCTATAAACGCCCAATTCCACTCGCCCGCATCGTATCAACGGCCTGTTTCTCGCCCCACCATGTCTGAAGATTCGAGGTCGACGGTTGACCTAAATGCGCTTCCACCAAAGCCCCGCGCGCCTGCAAATGTTATGCCCGGCGGTACAGCGCATACAGCAGGAGGTGAAAAGACATCGGATACCGGACCTACATACATCGACGCAGTACGAAGTCTAGGGCCAGAATATTACTTCAACTTTCACAAGCGACCGTGTGTACGAGACAGTCAATTGCAAGGATTAACAGCTGGATTTGCAGGAGGAAGCTTAGCAGCTATAATAGGCAGTATGTCAAGACTGCTCAGGCTGGCAGTCGGTGAAGGCTAGGTGTGACATAATGCTAACGTCAGAACAGAACCCGTCATCACAGCTTCGAACTGGGCCGTGGCAACTTGGTGTGGTGTTTCTGTCGTTTCCTACCAAGTATGCCAATACTATCGTTCTAAAGAAAAGGCCGGAATAAAACAAGCACAAGAACTCATGGAGAAGAAGCGCGCGAGTATCGAGGCTAAGAAGGAAGCCAGGCGGAGGGCACGAGAGGAACAAGACCGGTTGGAGAGGGAGCAAAGGGCAGAAGAAGAAAGGAGAAGAAGCTGGGGATATTGGTACCAGAAGAACATCAAGTTCTGGTAGCATATACCAGAATGTAGGATATGAAGAGTGGTGGACGCTGGGCACAGCATATGTATAAGAATGTGTACAATATGAGATATGATACGAGAAAATGGCTCGTGTGAATTATTTCAAGGATTTGGTATATCCAACCGTTCTCAAAGAACCATTGATCGATAACACATGAGATTTTCAAGACACAATCTTGTTGAACAAACGGCATCAGCCTTGACAAGAAGAGCATGCGTGAGTACTGGAGTTACCACTCATACGTTCTCTCCTGTTCGTCGCTACAGAACTCCTGATCCGCAGTGTGGCACCACGTTCTGTATCATCAACGTTCTTCAGCCCGCGGTCTCTTTCAACCCTAGCCAAGATAAATTATACTACCGAACCCTCGGGTATCCATGAAAGAAAAAGAGGGGGGGGGCAGAATGTAGACCCAGGAAACCACTCTTGCAGCGATGAGTTGTGTAACTAGTTGATGCGACACCTGGCCCGCATTCCAAATTGGTAGCCCAATGCAGAACAATTATTGTACGGCATGAGGCTCGCTGTAGAGCAAAAGCTCCAGAAGGTTGGCAGCAATGCAGATCTTGCCGTGGAAGTTGACTTCTCCGCCAATACGTGAAGACACCACTGAAAACTCCTCTGCTAATCGTTTGATATCTGACCAATGTTTGGTGTTTAGCGCGCTTCGCGCCATATCCTCACAACCACCAACTTCTCCCAGCCTGCTTTCTTGCCGCTCGATCCTACAGTCTCTGCCATCCATCCTGCGCCCCATTCTCTTATCCGCTGCTTGACTACTTCGGGCTTGTTTTGTGCACACAGCAGTAGGTAGGCAACTCCTCTATCCACACTCAGTATATTCGGAATCTGCTCGAGCATCCTGTTTGTTACCACCATGCCATCTTCACCTCCGGCGTAGGATAGCTCCAAAAGATACGAATCTTGCTCGAATGAGGTAGCTTTCTTCCCCTCTGGGATCACATTGTACTTCTCGTGACTCGACAGGTCAGGCAGCTCAGCTGGTACGTATGGCGGGTTGAAGATGAAAACATCGATAGTACTTGGACGAATCGCATTTGCCAAATCGCCATTCACAATATCCATAAAAACTGAGCGTTCCTTTTCTCTTTCTTGAATTGCATTTTGAACAGTGTGTGCAGCAGCGTTGCAAGCGAAGCTGTTGATATCAACTCCAAGCGTCAGTGCATCATGTCGACCAAAAATAGTTTGCGCATTCGCAGCAACAAATGCTAGTACAACTCCTGATCCTACGCCCACTTCGAGCACAGACTTAGCGACAGGGTAATGCTGAGTACTGTTGTTATGACAATACCTTCGAGTACCAGCGGCGGGGTTGAGGATGCATCACCAAATCGATCCTTCAGATATGTGGTTTCTGATGCGGATGAAATTGTATCGAGCAGCAAGTATGAGTCTTCAGCCGGTTCGTAGACGCGATCGAAACAAACGTGCGATGTCGAGGGCGTGGGCAGCATGGTTGTGATTTTGTTTCCGGATCGGAGGTGTGGCGTGTGGGCCAATTGGAATGGAAGGAGATCTGGAGCACTCTAGTCTAGAAAGCCGAGGCTGAGGTCATCACTACTTCAATGCATCCCATTTCCTTTACCACAACTTCCTAGATATTATTCTTGTACGAGTTTTGGAAAAATGAGAGCTGGTATACGATTGTTAGCGACTGCAACAGATGCAGGTGCATCGAGACCCTTCAAGCCGGCACCTGCGGCTTTGTTGCCGCCAATACCACTCTACCGGCGCCTGCTAAGGTCACATCGAAAGAGGCTAGGCCCAGAGGAACGCCTGTTGGGTGACATGTATGTGAAGGCCGAGTTCAGAGCTCACAGGGACGTTGAGAACCCCGTACAAATTGTGAGTTAAGCCATCTTCACAAAAGGCGCACCACAATGCCAGTAAGCTAACATTCACAGATCGGCTTTTTGTCGGAGTGGCAAACATATTGTCAGATGCTTGAAGGAGATTCATGGAAAGACGCAAAGATGGACAAAGCGAAGATTGATAAAATGAGCGGCACGTACTAGCACTCTCTGCATGAGGCTCTCCTAACTGAATCTTAGACCAACAAATCGGCCAGCTGTATGAACTGATGCAGCAGATTAAGAACCAGGCAAAGGAAGACGCTGATGCCGAAGACGCAAGAGTGGTGGAAATGCTTGACAAGAAGCCTCCAACGGACCACTGATTGCGAAAGATTGAATTATGCCACGCATCGATCGTTCCAAGACAAGCGCTAGAAACTTCACGCCTCAAAACGGGGACGTAAACAGCATGCAATCATGCTCCGTTTTCTCGCATCTAGGGAGATGCATTATATATCAGCAATACCATTACAGTATCCGAAACCTCTGCGCCCGTTCCTGCCATTACTCCTTGACTGCTATCCAAGGGCGCCAGCGATATCACTGTCTCGAGGCCCAGTTCATTGCCTACATCAATGACTGCTGGAGTTTGTATATCCGTACAGCGTCTTGCCTGATCCCACAGAAATATTTACGCATACAAACTCCACCTAGTATCACCAAAGGCTTTTTCAGACATCGAACTTGGAGATATCTAGGATGTGTGGCTGTACCCTCTATGACTCGCCGACATGTGGTCACTCCTGGCTTTCTATGAGTCGGCCCTGTGGTTTTCTCTCTGACTTCCTCAACTGTCCCTATCGCCAAACTTACCAGACTCTGATTGCACCACCGTACACATGTCCAACGTGCAATGGCGGTTTTGCAGACCAAGAAACGATCGAAATGATCCAGGGCCCTTGGGGTTGTGATCAGTTACTTCGAAACCATGTCGGAGGCAATCATGCAATTCCGGGTCAATGGGGTAATGTTCAATTGGCTTTAAGTGGACCAGGAAGCGCTGCGATTAGTTGCGCTGCAACAGCTGGCAGTGCGACTCATCCAAACAACATGAGACAAGGCTTCACACGCGATCATAGGCTTACAGGGCCATATGGACCGTCGATCATTCCGAACAGACCGAGACACTACGACCATGGGTATTATGTGGACGGCAGGCGCAAGAGGAGCAGGCACAAAAGTCATTACAAGTACAAGTACACTAACAAGCCTGCAACAAATTGTACAGTCATGTGAGAGAGCTCAAGGTAGAGGGTGAGGGTACAGGCTTATTCGGAGCGTCACTAGCAGTCAGATCAACTTAGCGAAATGGGTCCTACCTTGGTGCGCAGAAGCAGATTTGGAGTAGTGGCCATTTAGGTGCGAATACTAGTTAGATTTCAGCGGCAAGCACATATGAAAACCAAAATTTCCTGAAAAGAAAAAAACTCATTCCCTTCATCTCAACGATTACTTCTGTCTGAAATAGCCACATTGGGTTGGTGGTGGTATCGTGATCTGAAGGCGGTCGATGCTGGGAGCCGCGCTAAGAGTTGCTAGCGCGGTTTTCTACTCGCTAAACACCACAGTGGAAATTCGTGGCTCAGAACCTCAGCTCTTCGACAATACCACACAGCCAAATCGACATCCACAACCGTCGCCATGGCCAGTACGTTAACGAAGCCTCGCGATGGAGCGTACGACAAGACTAACACAGCTGTGCAGAATCCAAGAACTCGTCTCAGCACAACCAGTCCAAGAAGAACCACCGAAACGGGTACGCATCCCTTACCACGGTTGCACGCGCGCCATAATCCCCCCAGATGGCTCATCCATCTCGTTGGATCGAAAACTTGTCAATGCATGAATCTGAGAGCAACGACTGATTGATTGCATTACAGTATCAAGAAGCCTAAGACCCACCGTTACCCTTCGCTCAAGGGAACCGACCCCAAGTTCAGGAGGAACCACAGGCATGCGCTTCACGGCACCATGCGCGCTCTGGTGCGTAGCAACAATGTACTACACGAGGTCAGCTTCGGCCTGCTAACACCTGCACAGAAGGAGGTTAAGGAGGGCAAGCGCGAGAGCGCATAAAGGCCGACACGATTACGAGCGAGCGACGATGGCGGTTTTCGATTCCTTTATGAGACATCTGGTCGGCGTCAATGGCATTCGGACTTTCTTTGACAGCTTCGAACTCAAGGGATGGAAGCATGTGGCTTCACGCCTACCGCAGGCATGAACAATGAATAAGTCGAAAAGTCAGCTCGGTTCTCCCAGCGCGCGCCTATCCATGTGATGTGTTACATTGGCCGACCCTTGGACAGCATAAAGCCAGGTAAGTGAGATGAGTGACCGAGGTGCAAACCTCAACCCAGCCATTAGTGTGTACAGCAACAGAGCTCTTCAATGCTCGACCTGCTGAAGGAAAATTATCGTGGCAAGAACAACTTACCCCATCATTACCAAACACACTGCCTTTGACCTGTAGGGCACGTGTGCATGAAGATGGGGTTACATTATTTTTCGTTCAGAAGAGCTTTTACGAGCAAAGACGGTACCAAGAGGAAGCGTACGAAGACTCAATATTAATATGAAACATGATTTACTTTCTGACCCTTTGGCACTGCTTGTTGAGGTAATGACGATTTTCCAAGCGCGTGTATTGCCGAACAGGTGGGGCAGCCGAGTGACCTCAACATCTACTCTCCTTCTCATGCCCTCCCATCCCGCCATCCCGCCGTCCCTACTGACCCTCTAGAGTCGATGCAAGAGCGTCAAGATTGTATACCAACGACGATACGCTCCTCCTGCTCTTGCACGTCTCACAGCAGAGGCAAGTCAGCCGAGTCCGTTCCGGTTCCCGGTCTGGTTGCACAGCCCTCTCGCAGCCCGATTAGCTAGCACCCGCCTCGTACCTTGGGATCTCACCATCATACCTTGCTTCTTTCTGTCGCAAATAAAGTCGCAGCCTGTTCATTCTCTCACTTTTGCTATTATTCTCTTACAAATCGCCTACCTCTTCTTCCTACGCCCACTCTTACGTCACGCCTTTCAAACAGCCTACACCATGGCGACCCAAGCCCACTGCGCATACTGCTTTGAAAGCCTGGTTGCGAGCCTCGAGAAGCGGCCCGCCCTGAGCCTGACCCAAACCGAAGTTATGTGGAGAAAATTCAACGCTGGGATGGAAGATGGATCTGTTGAAGCAGCAGGCGCATCGTTGAAGCCTGCTGCTATATCACGCATCCTCGCCTCGCCATCTTCATCAAGCAGCTCTTCAAGTCTGCCAAGTGCGAGTTCTACGCCTAGCGGAGCTAGTAGCAGTGAAACAAATAGCAGTATGACAAGCCAAAACAGTAGCACAACCAACCTGGATGATAAGACGACGAGACAAGAGCAGGACTCAGACTACGACGAGGATGAGGAAGAAGAACACCCCTTATTCGTCACCTGGAATACCATCTCGCCAGGAAGCCACGAAAGGCGACTTCGCGGCTGCATCGGCACTTTTGAGCCCCTCCCCCTCTCCACAGGCCTCTCCTCATACGCCCTCACATCTGCCTTTGATGACACGCGCTTCCCACCCATCACCAAGCAGGAACTTCCATCTCTCGAGTGTGCAGTCACGCTTCTCACGAACTTTGAGCCCGTCGACGACCCCATGGACTGGGAGGTCGGCGTCCACGGTCTGCGCATCAGTTTCACAGACAGAGGCCGCCGCTACGGCAGCACGTACTTGCCTGATGTTGCGCGCGAGCAAGGGTGGAGCAAGGAAGAAACGATTGTCAGCCTGATGCGCAAGGCCGGGTGGGGTGGCCGCAAGAGCGAGTGGAGGGCTGTCAAGATCAAGGTTGTGCGGTATCAAGGGAAGAAGGTTAGTCTTGCTTGGGATGAATGGAAGGCGTGGCGGGATGAGGTCGATGAGCAGATGAAGCATGCTCATTAATCGGGGTGATGAAGTTAGAGAGTTTAATGCAGAGTAGTAGTATTGGCGTCATGAACATTTGGTCTTCTATTTTTTGCTTAGACAGCATCTCGTTTCTGGGATTTTATACTTTTCTCTATCTCCCCCTTTTGAGCGTTTACATAGAGGCTTCCTCCATGCGTATACATGCTAGATCATATGACTCAGGTGACCACATACCGGATGGTGGATAGAGTGGCATTACACGACGATTACCAACCGAGCTGGGCAGTGGAACACACCGATACGAATGCAAAAAAAACTAAATAGAGCTATGCATGGTTACAAGTGTCCTCCTTGCCGATGTCGGCACATGATGGGAAAAAAACGGGACAATCCCGTTTTCTGATCTCTTTTTCTGTAAGAAAAAAAAAGAACCACTTCAATAAAAAAATGTAGTTATGCATAATAATTCGGTCTCGTTACGAGAAAAAAAAGCAACACCGGTAAGGGAAGCGCGATGTAGTCGTAACAGCGAGTGGCAGGATATCTCTCGTGTCACGCCGCTACAGAACATTTACATTCGTAATCACAAGTGCATATAGTTATTGGATTGTTGTCATTTTTGTCAATTCTCTGCGCCTTCATTTCGTTACCCGCATCTCCTTATTCAACAAAGGGATGCTAAGGGTATCATTATGCCAAAATATCCATCCAAATGCTCCAGCCACTACCAATAAAACGGCCATTTAATTCTTCTTTTCCCTTGTCCATGCTCTACATCATTCACGCACATCTACATGACGTAGAGGAGGTCCGTGTCTGTTGTACCAGTCAGCATGTCTCCTCGGTTAACCATCAGGCCTACAAGACCTACTAAGCGGGTGACTGCAGCTTAATTGGGGTTTCTGTTGGTATTTGCCCTCGAGCTCGTCACGGATGCTGTTAAGCAGCTGTACATAGCTCTGGTTGGGGTTCTTGCGCAGCGAAGTAATAAAGGCCCATGACATGGCACCTGTGGCTTCACCGCCAATACTTGCATCGGCTCTGTTTGTTCATGTCAGTATTCCATGTCATGTACTCACCATGACGGCACAAAACTTACGAAGTCTGGGTATCCTTGGATCCACTCCACATGATGACATCAGCGGGGCTGGTCTTTGTCCTGAGGTTCTTCTTGTACACCTCGTCACCATTAATTGCCTTCTTGAACAAACTGGTAGCGCCGCCAATCATGCTGCCAATATCACCGCGCGCATAACTCGATACAATGCCGAGCAATCCTTGGCCGGCTTCCTTGGCCAGGTTAGGCTCCTTGAGCACACCCTGGGTGGAGTAGATGTATGGGAGGTCGAGGGCGGAACCGGAGTGGCAGGAATCGAAAATGGCGGTCAGTCGGACTCCGGGTTGGAGAGACGCAACCATGATACGGTGCATCTCGTCATCAACAATGTGGCCAGCAGTGCGGAAGTCCACTGGGTAAATTACTTCATCGTAGCCGTCGTCCTCGTCACCGTCAAGGTCCTTTGTCTGACCGCCGTGTCCTGCATGAATGTTAGTATGTTGTTGTTGGATTTGCCAAGTTCAGCGCAACACACCTGAGTAGTGGAAGAACAAGGAGTCGTTTGGCCGTGCGTCCTTGACCAACCAGTGCATCGCTCGTAGAATGTTTGCCTTGGTCGGCTGGCTCATAGGATTTTGCTGGTCGTCGGTCAAAGTGACCATGTCCTCTCGCTTGTATCCAAAGAACTCGTTCAAGTATGTACTCATGTTCTTAACATCGTTGATGCATCCTCGAAGCTGGCCTCGCTGGCCAAAGTAGTTGATACCAATCAACAGCGCTTTCCTCCGACCATTGCATGCCGAGTATTGGTACGAGTAACCGTTAGGCGCGCCATGGCCGAAGTTCTGAGCGCCGCTGGGCGGTGGAGGAGGAGCAGAGTGGTTTCCATGCGTCCATTGGTTGCTGTTGACTGTGGGCATCATGCCTGTGTGCGACTGTCAGTTCTACCGTCTTGGTCCGGGTAGACTGGGAACTTGCCTGGCCGCGGGGGCTGCTGGGGAGCCTGTTGCGGGGGTGGGCCTCCATAGTTTCCATATTGCTGTGGTGGTGGTCCCTATACTTGTCAGTCTGTTTCTTCGGTTTCAATCTCAATATCCAATTTCCAAAATCCACCGTGAGTCTTGTTGTCTTCGCGACCAAGTGCTATACGTACCTGGTTATATCCGTACTGCTGTGGTGGAGGAGTAGGCTGTCCGTAGTTGTTGTATCCTCCGTACTGCTGTGGAGGCCTGAAATACGTTAGCGGGTTGTCGAAGAGCAGCCAGTTGGTGTCCACTCACGGATGGCCGCCGTAGTTCTGCTGTGGCGGTGGATATCCTTGCGGGGGAGGACCGCCATAGCCACCTTGAGGCGGAGGTGCGCCGTAGCCACCACCACCACCACCGCCGCCGCCGTGATACTGCTGTCCGGGATAATACGACATGGCGAGCTAGGAGGAGGTGGAGAGTGGAAGTCTGGCGTGTCGCAGTTCTGGCGGAGCGATCGTCGAGGAAATGCCCGATTGGGGGAGGATTGTGGTCAATGGTTAAAGAGGGATCGCCGCTGTGGGGGATGCTAGGTTGAGCGGGAAATGAAGAGGGTAGGGTGAGCCAGAGAAAGTTGCAGGATGCAAGGTGGTGTGCGGCTGACGGTTCGGTCGGCAGATGATCTTGGAGTGGATACGTAGGGTAGCGCGGGGCGGCGGGCTTGGTCTTTTGCTGGTACGAACACAGTAGGTAAGTAGGGATGAATGGCGAGGGTAAGACCTGAGCTCTGACCAGCACCGACCCGAATTATTAACAAGCTTCCAAACCCCCTGGGCCAACTCGAGACATGAACACACACATGTATCTTTGGCGGCTTAACTTCGGTGAAGAAGCCCGAGGGAGGGGAGGCGGCAAGAGGAGCAGGATGAGGAAGAGCAAGGAGCACCAAGCAACAAACATATACTACTACCACGCCACGACCATCGCCTGACGAGCACAATATCGACCCAGGGACATGAATACCACCACAGCCACCCGACGACATGCAGTGGGCCCACGGCGCTTCCTCCCCTGGTGCAAGATGCGACTTGACTTGCATGCCGCTATCTCCAGTCCCATCTACCTGCAGTAACTAGCCATGTCCCAGGCATCTACTCCAACCAGAGCAAACCGAAACAAGCGTAGCGAACGACTTGCAACGCTTCGCTGCCAGTTGGCCTACCTACCTCAAATGCTGGTAGACTAAGTAGACTACGCCCATGTCATGTCCAACGTCCCGTTCCTCGACCCAGAAAAAACACCCCTTCCATCCAGCGCGATCCTACATGTCTGTCACCACCTGCAAGGCCATACCCCAGTGCCGTGTCTCGTCCGACCTCTGCACTGTCATTCGCCCACTGTCACGCTCTGCTTAATTTGCACTTGTGGTGTGTGTGTGTGTGTGCGTGTGCATTGGGCCGCTGTCAAGCCTCCTTGTGGCTGGACGTCGTAGCACACAAGGCGGAGCAGACGGCATCGCCGACGAGCGCGAAGCGAGCCTTCCGTTGGAACGATTCTGGAAAGCCGAGGGGTAGGTTGTGTTGCTTAATGTTTACCGACTCAGTGGGTAGCACGCAACTGGAGTGTTACCGTAGACATTGAGTCGTGTTCTTACCAAAGCACCCCAAACTTTCCCACTCCTTCTCACAATCCTCCTCCTCCTATCAAATCCCCTTCCACCCAGAAAACCTCCCAATTTCCATCGGCCCTTCTTTTCCTCTCGTCTCTCGCCCTACACCCACGTCTGTTTCCGCTCGCCTATTTCCGTTCCCCCCCTAGTCGATTCCAAACCTCCGTAGCGACGCTGTTGACCACCCCCTGTCCCTGCTACATTTCCATTTCCGCTTACAGATACCCGCATACACAACACACCCTTTCAACTCAGCTCCAGTTCCCAATCCGTCCACCATCCCCCATGCCAACTCACCTTTTTCATCCAGCCCTTTGGCAAGCACGCGCTCTCGTCCGACCGAATCCAACTGCCGCACACTCTTCCTGCCCTCTAGCTCCATTCAAAAAACCTCTTCTAGGACGGCGCTAAAAGGGTCCAGCCCGTCTGGTGGCTTGCGCTGCCTGTTCCACACCAACGGCGAGGGCCGAGGGCTCGGACGCGTTTGCATCTGATTGGGACGTTTTTTCTTGCCCTGTACGAGTTCGTCCCCGTGGGTGCATGCTGCCTCTGTTTGAACCATCGTAGCTGAATGATTAGTCTTAAGCTAGTATAGCCGAGCGTTGCAATGTGCCCTACTCGATGCACTTGACCGACGGCGTCGGTCTAACCTACAGCCTGCTAATGCAGTCATCCATCATTTTTAGATCATAGACATGTCAGAAACATCTTGGGGTATCACATCCAGCTGTCAAGCGCGCGGGGGCAGTGGCTGTAGTAGTATGGGTCTCGCAACATGGGGTATATAGTATTCGAACAAAGCTTCTCTCGTCCCTATTGGCCAATCCTCATCCATATGAATAAACGCTCAAAGCAAACTACGAAAAATAGATACCATATATACACCATCAACTTTCCCGAGTCCGACGCAATGCTAAAAAAAGACAGGAATCAAAAAAAGATACATGGGGTCGGCGTCTCAATTCTAACAGCTCTAACGATCATTGTACGCAATCGTTTGAGAAAAAAAGAAAGCAGGAAAGAGAAAAGGAAGAAAGAGAAGGGAATCAAGAAGGAGAAAAAAAAAGAAGAAAACAAGAAAAACACATCGAAACGTACAAAATCGTACATATTACATTAAAGTGTTGAGGGGCTTCAAGCCACTGAATGCGGGCGCTGTTGTCTCAAGCTCGGTCGCGACGAATGGAGAAGTCGCAAACGCCGTACTGTGCACCTTAAAGGGGTAACTGTTCATAACAAGAATTAATCATCAGTATGCACAAAACCACGTGGTAATGGCTATCATGCATGTGAAAGGGTAGAAGGGGTAGTCAGGGTAGAACTGGATGAGGTTTCGAGTGGACAAGGCTTGGAGGCTTCGTTCGCACCATCATCCTCATTGAGTTTGCCACCCGACTCCTCATCCTTGTTCGTCTCGTCCGCTTCTGCTTCGCGAGCTTCGCGCTCGGCATAGATCTTCTGTTTCTGAGCTTGTGCATTGGCTAGAGTGTCAATGTACGTTCGGAACTTGACAATTTCCCGGAGAAGGTACTGCGACTTGCGCTCCCAGTTGGCCATGGCTTTTGCCGCATTGGGATGGCGAGGTGAGAACTGGTTTTGTTAGTCAACGGCAGCTCCGAATACAAAAGATACCAAGACTTACCGCTATGAGCAAAGGCGCTCTCAATTCGTTGTGATGGGACAGCTCGTTCTCAATATTCTTCACGTAATCAGTCAAGGCTCTGAGCTGATCCACTTCCATGAGAGTGCTGGCCATCATGCTCGACGCCGGCGGGCTCCAGTCAGAGAGGACAACCTTGTCACCAGGAAGCCTGGGTTTGGGTGCGCCAGTGGCATGGTCCATCGAACTACGAAGGGAGCTTGTGACACTCGGACGAGGCATGTGCCCTTGTACCGACGGCGTGCTGTCCCGTCGAATCAAGGCCGGGTTGATGACGTTTTCGCCCCATCCATACTCCATGCTGCTGACACCACCAGTCAAGGGTTCCTTGGAGAGACGGGCAGACCAGTAGTTGACGGTACATACAAATTCCCTGCAAATGTCAGGGGTTCCGACTTGGAATAAATGGACGGCGCCATTGGGAAGTGAAAGAGCGAAAACATGTGGCCTAGTCTTCGAGTATCCAGGAGGTGGCAGTGCGCTCGCAATCGTCTGTCGAAGTTGGAAACTGTCCAGGGCCTCGGCATTGTCCATCCAGTTACCACCACCTACGACACCACCAGTTGATGGTTTCGTTTTGCTCTTCTGTCTCGCTGCCTTAGAATTCATGCTGAAAGAAAACAAACGCATACAGCCCTTCTCAACCACTGCAAAGCACTCGTTCCAAGTACGGTCTTTGGCTTTCCGACCCACTGTTTCGAGGTGTCGTTTGTGCTTAAGAATACCTTCTTTCGCCCATGGCGCTCCAACAAGCTCAAGAGTCTCATCCTCCAAGAGAGGTGCGACACGAGAGAACTCTTCGTCACTGGCAATAGTCATGCCTTCCTCACGAATAATGGCCTGGCTCAGAGCATTGGCAAAGCCAATAGCTTGCTGGTAATCGCCATGCGCGAAATGAGAGCCAAGTGAATCTACTGACATTGATGTGCCAGTCTTGCCGTACGAGTACCGACTCCAAGTACTGGAACCAGCAGGGCTCCATACAGATTGATCGTCCAGACTTGTGCGGCTTGATGCGACAGTAGACGAAGGGTACAGTCTCTGTTTTGAGCGGTTCTTAGAAGCCCAGCGGTTACCCATACTACGCAAATCATTCTGTGATCTACCTCGGTAACTGGTGTTGTCCGAAGGTGCTTTGCTAAGCACACTTGGGGTCCGACGTAGCATCCCGGTAACTGAAAGATTGTTATTGGAAGGCTGATGATGAACAACGAGGTCCGAAGATCCATGGAGCGGTAGGCGTTGTTTGCGAATGGAGTCGTAGAACTCCTTGAGGACTGTCTCAATCTGCATTTCCCAACCCTTCATGGGCCCATTGTAGGGCGTGTTGACTAGCGTGTTGGACTCTGACCCTGTACCGTCATAAGAAACCAGTGCTTCGCTACCGCTCTTAGCAGGGGGTCGAATGGAAAGTCGACTACGGGTCTTCCTAGCCTCGGCGGGCTCTTCAAAAGCAGCATCCCCAGTGAAGTTGGTGGCTTCAGGACCGGGAGAGTTTGGTTCCGATCGTTCGTTCCAAGGCAAAGAAGGCCTACGGAAATGGGTGGACTGCGGTCTTAGTGTTTCTTCGCCAGCAGCCTTGACGGCGTCTTGGCATACACGGACAACAGTGGGAAGCGTGTTGCG